ATATTTAAAAAAAAAAAAAAGAATTCTTCATATATTCTAGATATAAGACCCTTATCCAGTTTCTGATTTGCAAATATTTTCTCTCCCTAGTAGGTCCTTTTTCCTCCGAGTCAACATATCTTATGATTAGGGGGGGACTTGTTAAATATATTCAAAATATTCAAAAACTACTGTATCTTTACAATATGAACAACTTTGTCAGGCATGGTGGCATATGCCTGTAATCCCAGCAATTTGGGAGATTGAGGCAGTAGGATTGCAAGTTCTAGCCCAGCCTCAGCAACTTATTGAGACCCTATCTCAAAAAAATAAAAGGGATTGAGGATGTAGCTCAGTGGTAGAATATGCCTGGGTTCAATCCTCAATTTAAAAAAATATATAGCTTTAATTGCTTATATCATATCTACTGGATCTGTAAGTAGTATTTTAAAAGACAGATTTATGTGCAAGAGAGTTAAATCATAGAATTGTACCTAATATATATTTTAAATGCTTTTAAGTGAGTGCTACAGCAAAAAAGAAATTTTAAAAATCAGCTGTTTCCAGATTCTAGTTGGGTATTTAGCTGGTGCTTTACCTGTGTGTTTCACAAAATGAGCCTGTGAGGCAGGCAGGGTCATGTATAAGAAAGCTGAAAACTTACCACTAATTTTATTCTATAACCAACCTTTAGCCCAATATTTTACTATTGCACAAAGATTGTGAGATCTTGCTTTCCATATCAGATCATATTGGATTAGTTTTCCATACTACACAAACTTAAAATTTCTTTAAAAGAGTCAGTGTCTAATTTGGGTAGAGGCAGGTTGGATTTTGATGGATTTTGATTAAGACAGAGATTCCAGAACAGACTAATGCTATGAATTTAGTTATAGATGGCATTTAAACCTATGGGACTAAGTAAAGTAGACGAGGGGGAAAATGAAATGAACCAATGAGAATTCTGGGAAGCTTAACATTTAAGGGGTGGAGAGAGAGAAAGAGAAAAAAACTTCACTCAGTGATATGTTCATGTTTATCTTGAAGTGATCCATAAACAATACTGTGTATGTTCATCAAGGGAGACAGCCATCTGGCACCTTGTATATAATGTCTTTTATTTCCCAGGAGAATGTGAGAGCTTTGACCAAAGGGGTTCAGGCTGTGATGGGTTACAGACCTGGGAGTGGCCTGATGACTGCAGCTACTCTGACCTCTGAAAATGGAACCGGGAAGCCCTGGAAAAAACATGGCAACAGAAATAAAAAAGAGAAAAGTCGTAGACTCTACAAGCACCTGGATATGTGAACCTGGGCTACAACAGAAGTGGCATCTGCACTGTGCAGATGGAAAAGAACAGAAGCTGCTTGTTGCCTGTGCCTTGCAGCCACATCCAACAATCTTGCTATCAAGACTAAAGGGCTCCTGGAAATGCCATCTCTGACACAAGTAGTCGTTGGAGCCCCAGAAATGTACTCCTATAGGAGGCTGGACTTCAGATGAGGGAATGGATGATGTATATTTGTTTGTGTAAACATACACAAAAATGCATATTAATTTGAGTTGGGACGTTTTT